AGAACAAAGTTCAAGGATAGAATACACCTGATTAGTTGAAAGGTCCTTCTCTAGAATGCACTCTTTGATGTTCGTTTGCTCCACCATTAACGTTTGATCCCTTAGTGTTTCATTTTCAACCTGAAAATTAAAAAAAACAAGATTAAATTATTAGTTTGTGCATGCTAAAATCCTAAGAAAAATACAAAAATCGATAAATGCTCGGGTTGCCTCCCGAGAAGCGCTAAGTTTTTAGTCTTCAGCCAGACTTTGATTCTTCGGAATTGTTATGTCCAATCCAAAACCTTTTAGATTGCACATCCATCCATTTGTTTTACTAAATCTCTTTCAACCAATGCATAGACACAGTTGCAATATGTCAGTGTCCACATCCACCTTAGTTGGTACCCTTCTTTGTTAATAAACAATCTGTAAAATACCAAGGTAGGATGTTCTTCATCCGCTCCCTCAAATCGGTATAAAAAAATCTCCAGTCTAAATATAACCAACACCTCAAAGACATTAGCATTCTCATCAACCACTATTGATGCCTTCAAGTCCACATTTAGATCAATGATAGGGTCCACAACTAGAATATCTTCAATCATTACATTCATCTCCTTCTTCTCTTGTTCTGAGGCATCTTCGGGTTTTAGCTCGATTGCCTTCTCAGATTCATCATGCTCAAGTGTCTTCGTAATTTCTATTTCTCTCATATCAACACTATTTTCCGGACATAGAAGATTTTTCTCACCGCAAGCTTCACCCGAATTTTCTTTGATATAACCATTGTCGATTTCGTCTGGAATATTTTCAAGAGACTCATATTGTAATTTGAGCGTTATCTCTTCCAATTGTATCTCCATGTTTCGAAATGATGCTTGAGTGGACTTCATGAATTCGGAAATGAGGGATACCAAATCAAGTTGTTCATTAGTGGTTTGTTGCTGCGATGGATAAGAATTTTAAAATTCATAAAATTGTGGCTCTCTATGTTGAAACTTGTTGAAATATTGGTCCCGAAAGCTTTGCTCGTATGTGTTGGTGAAAGTGTTCCAATAACCTCTGTTGGTAATTCCGTCGAAATTCGTCGCTTTTGGTGATCCCCAACATTGATCGGTGTAATGATTTCCGCCACATGCTGAACAAAATGGAGGCATATCATAGGTGATTTGGAGGTATTCGCCAGATGAAAGCCTTCATATCCCCTTTGAGGTGCCCGAACATTATAACCAGACATGTAACAAAAACAAAAAATCAAAATTAAAAATAAAAATAAAAATAAAAAATAAATGTCTGAAGTAAGAAAAATTGTTCAAACTCGATAATTTAACCTTATTCCCTGGCAACAGCGCCAAAACATTGTTGGGCTAAATACCTACACGCAAGTGCACGTATCGCAAACAAGTAGTAATAGTGGACCCGTAAGAGTCGAATGTCGATCCCACAGGGAATACTCAAATTATCTAATCCTAAGTACCAAATTCTAACACTTATAATTTTTATCCAGCCTACGCAAGGTTGTCAAATTTAATCAACTAAATAATTAAACTAATTATAAAAGCAAATAATCACGAGAAAAATATCAATAAAAAACGGATCTAGGATTTTATCTTCCCCATATGCGATAATTCATCACCCAATTAAACCTCTATCATGCAAATTATGATTCCTGGTTATTAACCCGAGACACTAAATTACTCATAACCCGTTGTCGCGTGTATTATAAGTCTATTATTCATAAACATTTCACTATATGTCTATGCAAACCGATTATGAATAAAACATTAACTAACAAGTCTCGTAAACGGCCACCTAAGGTGTTATATGTATGTCTTTGATATCACATCCAATTAACACAGTAATCCGGTGAAAACTATTCGAAGGCTCTTCTATCCTTGTTCTAATTATTAAAACGATATGTCGATTCAATTCTAACAATAACATATAGCAATATAAATTAGCTAGGTTCATGCACTAAATAAGATCAGATAGAAGAAATAATCATGGAATTTAAACTTGCATAATATTAGAAAAATAGGTTCAAATTACCACATAGGGTGCAAGGGTGCTAATAAAATCCTAGATAAAAACTTTAGCTACTCGTATTCTCTACAAAAAATATCATAAGTATACGAAAATACATAAAAGTAGAAAAGAAATGTAAAAGAAGAACTATGATGAAGATTCGTCAAGTCTTCGTCGTCGATTTTCGCTCTCTCGCTCCTCTTGCTCTAGGATTGTGTAAAAAGTTGTTGTAATTCGTGCTTGTCTTTGCTTTTAAATAGATGATCGTCTTGGTAAGAAAATCTGGGTATCCTTGTGTGATTAAAAACCTTAAAAGTTGTCTCCAGCGTGTTTTCAAAAGGTCGTGCGAAAATCAGTACAAATCTCACACGGCAGTCTCAAATCCTGAAGCTTTCTGCCCAAATTCTGCAGTTGGCACGACAGTGCTAGTAATAGCCTATTTTTCACACGGCCGTGCCATACCAATTTTCAGCCTCCGATTGTTTCCATTTTTGCCCGCTTTTGACCATTTTTTGCTCGTTTCGTCCTTGAAAATCCCGAATCTTCAAATTGTACTTAAAATACAACAAACCAATAATTAACCACCATATAATCGATAAAAAAACATAAAAATCCTCGTAAGAAAGTATATATTGAGTGTAAAATCTACACTCAATACCGACACCATCACAGCCTAGAGGAGCAGAAGGTTTTATTTTCCCAGTAAGTATTTTTCCCTCAGTGCTTTCTCATTGACATTGCTAGCTGTCTCAATGAAGCTGCCGGTAGATCGAACTTAGGAATTAATGACAAACTTGTGGATATTAGCAGTTTGTTTTCATGTCAGCCGCCATGGCTAATCTCACAACATCTTTGGGTTCCTTGACAAATAATGAAATTGCACTAAATTTAGCTGCTTTAGTCATTTTTGCTATTACAATCGCGGGAAATGCCTCCATTAGTATTGCCCAAATGAGTGGGTTTATCAATCTTCGTCATATACAGTGGAAGAAGTAATCTGATCGACCGTCTCCATGCTTTTTCTGCTTCTGATATTATGTTCAGCATCTGTGATGGTCCCAAGTCCCAACTGCCAAAAGACAAATAGACTTGGCCTATCGTGAAATGCACCGAAAAATATCGAACGATAAGAACCTTGTCCAACTTGTAAAGAAATCTGTCAACTTCAACGGTGTGAGAGAATTCGACTCCGGTGAGGTTCCAATCCTGCAATATTCTCAAGAACCTCCAAACTGCTGGTCCCTGACAGTTGTCACATTAACAAGTGTTGCAATTTCACTCCCCAACATCTCAGTCATAAGCGTAAGTTTCTACTGAGTGTTGTGAACAAAGGCAAGGCCTCTACTTTGTGAAGCTTATAGAGAAATCGCTCGACAAAAATGGTGGTGATCTGACAAGCATCCGGTATGCAGCAGACATTGTTTGGGTAGGAGTTCAACTGTCCAAGAAATGGCAGGATATGAATCTCCAGATTGCAAGTCGCAGAGGCGGGTCCCACAAGGAGACGCTGCCGAAAAGATTGCTTCAGATTTCACTACAGAATCGAAAGATCCTCTGATGATGCAAAACCCTCTCACAAAGATGGCAATAGCCAACCTAATGAGGAACTCTTCGAGAGATTATCGGTGGTGATATCGGACATATTTGCAGCTTGTCTCACCAATTTAGTGTCTTTCATAATCTTGAAATGCCACAGCAACAATGCTATATCGAAGAAAGGGAGGGAAGTGTGCGCGAAGCAGCGATTCTTCTCGGTGACAGTGAAGAAGTTCTTGAAATTAATCAGAAGCGTGATCTTCCGAGCTTGGATCCAAAAAAAGCGGCTAGTATTGAAGAGTGGAGGGCGTTTATGGAATTAAATCCACCAGCATCTGTCTTAGACTTGAGTAAGTATGGTGCAACAAATCCGTACTCTAGTTTCGAGCAAGTATCCATTGAGCCGGAATGCTAATTGCAAGAAGACAAGCATTTTATGAAATATTACGATGTATTGTTTCAAACTCTTCTAGTATTGTTTTTCTGAGCTCGAGCTCGAGCCTGAGCCATTTTGTGTACTTTTTTTTATATATATTTTTATTAATATTCTTAGAAATTTATTAGGCTGCAGCTATATGCAATACTCATTCTACTTGTGCTAGACCAAATTAAAGAAAGATTCCAAAAGATTCTATTTTATTAAGATGGAATGACAAGTATGCCCATAAATTAAATTAGCTTTTTTTTCTCATGTAAGACCAAATACAAATAATGAGAACAAAATAAAAATCGACACCAAGGTGTCGAAAAACTATGGTACAAATCGACACTTAAGCGTCGAATTTCATAGGTAAAAATCGACATTGACATGTCGAATTTATAGCACAAATTCAAATGTCGAATTTTATACCTCAAAATCGACATCTAAATGTCGAATTTTACCTGTAAAATTTGACCTGTACATGTCGAATTCGTTTGCGCGGGATTTTTTTGGAAAATCGATATTCTAGCTAAAAAAACCCATAAATGCATACATTCTTGGGTTCTTCCATCGTAGAATCTTCTATTTTGATGTCTTCTGACTCCATACTTGCCATCTTTGTAAGATTTGTTGAGTTTTGATGATTTTGAATTTCTAGGTTTTGTGGGTTAATGGAGGAGGAAGGAGAAAGGTCTTGTGGGTTTTGGAAAATGGAGAAGATGATAGTTGGTCTTGTGGTTTTGTGGTCTTGTGATAGGGTTTTTTGTATTTTTGAATTTTTGGTCTTGCATATTTGGATTTTTTTATTTTTTTAATAAATAAGGGTATTATAGTATTTATACATTGAAAATTTTAATTTGGTCTTGCACAAGTGGAATTAGTCTTGCATATAGCCGCAGCCAATTTATTATTATAAATTATAATAAAAAAAATCGAATAAAAAATAACCTGCAATTTATGTTTTTAATTATTTATATGAATGTATTATTTATTTATATTATATATTTCCAAAAAAAAAACAAAAAAAAAATAAAAAAGCTCACGAGCTTACGAACAACAAAAAATGAATCCGGGCTCCACTCGTCAGGATCTCTATCGACTTCTTGTACTGTTGCTACTCGATGAAGACATCGATGCCCGGTCGATTTAATGCCATAGTCGCCCTACATTCTTTTATATAAGCTGCTTTTATTGGATCCAAGCTCGGAAGATCACGCGGTGGTGGAATTTTAAGAATCCCTTCACTCTGGCCTAGAAGAACAGCTGTTCCGCGAACGCTTTCCTCCCTTTCTTCGATGACATTGCTGTGAGATTTCAAGATTACGTCAGGCACTAAATTGGTGAGACAAGCTGCCAATATGTCCGAGATCATTACCGACAATCTCTCGAACAGCTCCTCGTCCGTTTGGCTATCGTTGTTTGTGTGGGATAGCAGGATAGTTTGAGTTACCCGATACATCGAGCGAGCAGCTATGACTTTAAGTGGCCAGTAGAGAGGGTTTTGCATCAGTGGATCATTCATCTCAGTTGTGAAAATATCGTCAGCAATGCGCGAAAGCTTTTGCAGTGTCTCGTTGGGTGATCCACCTCCGACGCTTGCATCCTGTAGATCATTATCCAGCCATTTCCTAGAAAATTCAACTCCTACCCAGACCACGTCTGCTGCATGAAGGATGCTTGTCAAATCACCGTTTTTGTCGAGGGTTCTCTCTATAAGCTTTGCAAAGTAGAGGCCTTCTCCCACAGCACTCAAAAAACGATTAACACGCTTATTAGCATCAACGATATTAAGCGAAATTGCAATGGCTGTCAATGTCATGACTGGCAGAGACCAGCAGTTTGGAGTTTCATGATCAAAATGTAAGCTTAAAACTTCGCGGGGGTCGAATTTTCCGACCCCATTGAAGTTTGCAGATACCTTTAGAAAGTCGATAAGGTTGTTCGGTTGCTTCTTCTTACCTATCTGGATCAGCTTATCCACCTCGTTGCATATGTTTCTCAGCGTCTTTTGAGGCAGCTGCGACTCGCCCTCAAGCAGCAGTACGTAACGGCTGTAATTCTGCTCCATCCCACGACTTGATTCCACGCCACTCTTCTTGATACGATGGAAGCAAAACAGAGGTACTTTCAGAAATGTAGCCGAGATGAGTAGAGCTAGTTTGCTGGCCCGAACAATCGCACTCTGAACTCCGATGCAGATATTGAGCAGTAATCTTTTTGCATCGTAAACAAGTTTCCTGAGTATTTGGAATCCAACTTGTAATGGTACAGAGCGATCTCTCCAGTACACCAGCCTTTCGTTCCAATATGCCTCGACCTTCAATTCGTCTTTAAAACTCATATGGCCTATCTTCGAGCTCTTGAATCGGGCGACAATGAACCATCGCATGACAGGAGCAATACCGCCCACTATCACACCAATGGTTTGAACGAGAAGAATCAATTTGATCGACCACTTGTAATTTGACGAAACTTTACCTTCATACGAAAACTTTCTTTTCTCAACGTGTAACAGAGTTAGACCCATCAACAGGCACATAACTCCCGAAGCAACGCAGGTCACAGAGCGAGCGATCACAAATTGAGAGCCCCCCGTTTCAGCCATAACCCAATATCTCGTCACAACAGTTTTGAGTTCCCCGGCAGTAACTAATTGCTTATCGGATATTTTTCTGTGCATTTCACTATACGCCAAGTCTAAGTGTCTTTTGGCAGTCAGAAGCATCACAACGGAAAAACATGATGTCAGAACCAAGAGAAGTGTTGGGTGGCCGTTCAAATAACATTAATATTACAGACCTTTAATCAAATGAATTACACAGATTAATAAGCCTAAGGGGAAGGGGATTAGGACTTAATAAATAAATTACAGAAATAAATAATAATAAGAACGAATCTGGAGCAGATCTGAAATCTGCCCGTTTTCAGCTCCGGTGGAGGAGATGACACAGCAACGGCTCAGTCCTCGTCTGCCGTGTCCACGTCCGGAGTCCAGTCGGCGGCAGCCAGCACACTCCCGGTGTCAAGCTCACAGATCACACCCAGCAGTAGAACATCATCCGAGTGCTCAGATCCCAGCCTCACTCCGACTGTAGTCTCAATCCAACCCAAAACCCCAACGAATCGAACTCACACACACAATGTTTCCCCAGATCTGGTACCCTCACTCACAGAGGTCACGAAACCACTCACCACAGAGAGGTTTAAGACAAGAAGGTAGAAGATGGGAAGATTTCGTTGTCTCGTTCGTTGTTCTCTTCATCGTCAAGAAGAGATGTATATATACTCGTGCAGCTGCAGCAAGAAAGGAAAGAGAATAGACCGAATCTCCAACCGCCATGGAAACCGGCGAAAGATTCGGCCGTCGAGAAGGGATAGAAGAGATAAGATGCAGCTGCTAGGTTAGGGTTTGGATGCTTAGAGAGTGGGAGGATATTTATATTGAGAGTGGATGGCTGAGATCGAGACTAGTCAATCAACGGTCCAGATTGACTTTGCTTTGGGCCTTAAGTGAGCTGATGGGCTGCACAAAGTGGGTTAGCAATTTTGGGCCAAATAAACATTTGGGCCCCTTTTATCTAACAAGAAGCATGAACACAGCACATACAATTTGTTCTTCCATTATGGTATGCACATCGTAAAAGTGAAGCAGGTGCATAATATGAACGGCAACATTTCCGAAGACTGTAATAACAAGAAGGGCTAAAGCAGCCAAGTTTAGTACAATCTCGTTACCGGTCATTGATCACAGAGACGTCATGAAGTTGGCTATAGCGGTTGACATGAAAACCAAACTGCTTATTCGAGCAAGTTTGTCGTCATCTTGTATCGTAAAACTGGTGAGATCAAGTGGCAGCTTCATTGTGGCAGCTAATAGTGTCAACGAAAAAGCATTGAGAGTGAAATACTTACACGGGAACCAAAGTTTTTTGCTTCGGAAGCCTATCGAGGCATCGGCTGCCATTGCCACCGTGCAGACCAAAGAAGCTGTTGCGATATAAAGGCCTATCCATGGCATTGGCTCGTCCAGTTTGTCATGCAACGCTGTCGAATCTTCATCTCTCGTAAGGTCCATTTTATGCATCTATTTTGTTGCTTGAGTAGGGTGAATTCTGAGTGCTCTTTATTTCAAAATTCAGGTTCTTTGTGTGTGTGTGTTAAAGAAAAGATCTTAAGAGTCACAAAGACAGCCCTATAATTACACACAGTAATTAGGTTTGAGAGATTAGGCTCAAGCTTTTCAAGCAAGAGCGAAACTTCTCGAGTGGGAGACACTTAGTACCCATATCTGCTGGATTAAATTGTGATGGGATTTTTTCCAGCTTGATAATACCCTGTTCCACAATATTACGAATAAAATGATACTTAATCTCAATGTGTTTAGTACGATCGTGGAAAACCGGGTTTTTACATAATTGAATTCCCGATTGGCTATCCGAGAACACAGTGACATCCTTTTTAAGAAAACCAATTTCGCGCAGAATGCCTTTAAGCCATATGGCTTCTTTCATTGCTTCGGTGGCAGCGATGTGTTCAGCCTCGGTTGTAGATAGGGCTACAATATTCTGCAGTTGCGATTTCCAACTAATGCATGATCCACACAAAGTGAAAACGTAAGAAGTGGAGGATTTCCTACCGTCTCTATCGTTTGCAAAGTTGGAGTCAACATAGCCAATTAATTCAATTCCAGATTCAGATTTAGAAAAATTTAGGCCAACATGCAAAGAATGTTTCAAATAACGAAGAAGCCATTTCAAAGCTTCCCAATGCGGCATACCTGGGTTCGACATATAGCGACTCAAACAACTTACCGCATAAGCTATATCAGGACGAGTGCTTACCATCAAGTACATCACAGAACCTATCGCATTGGCATAAGGAACATTTTGCATAGAGTCAATTTCAGTTTCAGTCTTGGGGGACTGATCCTTACTTAATTGAAAATGGGCAGCTAAAGGCACGTTTGCAGGTTTAGCATTAGACATGGCAAATTTTTCTAAGATCTTACTCACATATGAAATTTGATTCAAGAACAGCAAATTATTATCTCGATTGCGATCAATGTTCATGCCCAATATTTTCTTAGCATCCCCTAAGTATTTCATGTCAAATTGTTCACTTAGACACATTTTCACATGATCAACAGATTTCACACAAGGGCTGATTATGAGCATATCATCAACATAGATCAACAAGAAAATAGGCACAGAGCGAGTATCTTTGAAGTAAAGACAAGGGTCATAATCACTTTTCTTAAACTTCAATGAAAGCATGCAAGAATCGAATTTCTTATCCCATTGCCTAGGTGATTGTTTCAAGCCATATAAAGATTTTTTCAGCAAACACACATATTCAGGCTTTTTAGCATCTACGAAGCCCTCGGGCTGTTTCATGTAAATATGCTCATCTAACTCACCATGCAAGAAAGCAGTTTTTACATCCATTTGTTTCAATTCCCAATTAAAATGCGCAACTAATGCAAGCATAATACGAACAGTGGTAAATTTAACAACGGGAGCAAAAATTTCAGTATAATCTATACCTTCCTTTTGCGTGAAACCTTTAGCAACAAGACGAGCCTTATACCTAATGGAGTCTACCTCATCCTTAACCTTAAACAACCATTTGCAGTCTACCAAAGAGCAATTAACAGGTTTAGGAACAAGAGTCCAAGTTTGATTAACATGCAAAGAGTTCATTTCTTCTTTCATAGCATTTAACCATTCAGCTGATTTATCAGATTTTAGAGCATCCCTAACAATTTTAGGTTCATTGCTATCTATAGATTCAAACACATTGAAAACATGAGAAGCAAGATGAAAACTATCAAAACGTTGTGGGGGCCTAGCATTTTCACGTCTAGGTCGATCTCTAGCAAGTTGATAATCAGACAAGTCATCCACATTAGGCAAGTCATGTTGAACATTTTGGTCATGCAAACTTTCAAGTATTTCTGATTCAATATCAGGCAGTTTTTCAGATTTAACAGTAGGCAACTCCACCTCATTTGGAGCAGCCTCTGAATTCACAACATTATGCACAACAAGGCAAGGAAAAACAGATTCATTAAAAATCACATCACGACTAATAGCAGTTTTATAGCCATGTTCCCCTTTAACCCAAAGTCTATAACCTTTAACCCCTTCGGGATAACCCAAGAAAACACATTTCACAGAACGAGGTTCAAGCTTATCACTTTTATGATGCATGAATGCAGCACAACCAAAAACGCGTAAGTTGGACAAATCAACCTTTTTACCCGACCAAACACATTCAGGCAAATCACCATTTAAAGGCACAGAGGGAGATCTATTAATCAAATAGGTGGCAGTCAAAACAGCCTCACCCCAAAACATAGTTGGTAAACCCGAAGTGGCGAGCATGGCTCGAACCCTCTCTAAAAGAGTTCGATTCATACGTTCAACCACCCCGTTTTGCTGAGGGGAGTAAGGAACAGTTTTGTGCCTTTTAATACCAGATTCAGAGCACATAGCATCCATTTCTTGATTACAAAATTCTGTACCATTATCTGTCCTAAGGGTTTTTATCCGTTTTCCTGTTTGATTCTCAATATAAACTTTCCATGTTTTGAACTTATCAATAACATCAGATTTTTGTTTCAACAGGAAGACAAACACCTTACGAGAGAAATCATCAATTATGGACAGAAAGTAACGGTTCCCACCATGTGTAGGAACACTGGCAGGACCCCACACATCAGCATGCACATACTCAAGAATATCAGAACACTTAGAGGGATTGGGGGAAGGGGTTAGTTGAAAAGAAACACGAGTTTGCTTTCCAACAATGCAAGAGTCACACATAGTAACCTCAGACACTTTATCATTGCCAAAATAGTGATTGTTATGCAGAATGTTGAGACCTTTATTACTAATATGACCTAGTCTATTATGCCACATAATAGAATGATCACTTTGGACAGCATTCACAGAAGCAGATGATTCAGAATGACATACATACATATTTTGCATTCTTATGGCCTTAAAACATAGCAGATTACCCCTCATAATTTTCATGCAACCATTACCCCAACCACCATGAAACCCATCATCTTCTAAGATAGCACATGAAATCAGATTTTCACTCAAATTTGGAACATGCCGCACATTTTGCAAAGTTAACACATAACCAGTTTCAAACTTTAAGCAAACAGTTCCAATTCCATGAACTTGGCGTTTTGTGCCATCAGCCATAGTCACATTGCAATTATTCAATGATTCATAGTGGGAGAAAACATGTTTCATAGGAGTCATATGATGTGAGCATGCATAATCTAAAAGCCAATCATTTTCACCAAGAGATGATAGCACAGAATTCACACAAGCATGTTCACCAACCATAAACACATCACCAAGATTATTATCAGAAACATGATTAGCATGCTGATCATTAGAGTGCTTATTAGGCTTAGTATAATTCTAAGCATAATGACCAGGTTCACCACAATTATAGCACTTACGACTGTTAACACGAGTTTTCGACTTACTCCTGCCCCTGCCCTTTTTCTTTGAAAATTGTTTTGATGAGAACCATTTTGAGAAACATTTTGGTTAGAGGAGGAAGGCTTATTTGAAAATCGGTTTTGCTGCCTTCCTCTCACAAAGTTTACCTCACCAAAACTCTTATTGCTTTTGTTAACTCTCAAATCCAGTTCTTTACTCTTTAAACCGTTTATGACAGTGTCAAGAGAAATATTATCCCTGCCATACTTAATAGCAGATTTCAAATTGTTGTAAGAATCAGGTATTGCATTTAACAAAACAATGGGAGTATAGTTATCAATACTTTTGTCTCCCGTCAGTTTAATATCCTGAACTAATCTGGTAAACTGATCTATGTTCTCATCAATATCTTTGGTTAGATCCAATTTGAATCTAAAAAACTTTTCGAGTAAAAACAATTTTGAGGGCAGAGAAGTTTCAGTGTACAACTCATCTAACTTTTCCCACAGACCTTTGGCAGAATCATGCATACCTACCTTTCTAATCACAGAGTCAGAAAGATTCAATATAATGGCAGAGTAAGCAAGTTCATCAAGTTCTATTTTCTTAGAAGCAGTAGTTTCAGCAGCATAAGATTCATCAATAGCCACATAGCATCTTTGTTGAATTAACACACCTTTCATTTTTTGTTTCCAAATAGAAAAATCACGCTTACCATCAAAAGGAGCCATAGAATACACAGACATGGCGGTCATACAAATTTCAGCACACAGCAAGATATTAGACTAATTTTTCACAATAGTCCCAAATTGGGACAGGTGCATATGCAACAAGGATAGGCAATCTTGGAGACCCTCCCTCACAGGATTCCAGGGCACTTGCGGTCCGGTCAAGTGAGGTCGAGAATCCAAGTTATACCACCATTTAATATTTATATATATAAGTGAGCGGTTTATATATATGCAGCGGAAGAATAATGTTCACACAGAAGCAAGCGTGGCACACAGACCACAACAGAACACACAGAGTGGCACACAGACCACAAATTACACACAGTGGCTCACAGACCACAGAATCTAAAGATAAGGCAGTACCAATCACAACAGAAACTAAATCCCAACCATAGGGGATTTAGGGTACAATACCTGAGCGGAATCCGGTTGGATTTCCGTACGCCCTATTTGAACGAGCACCCTCAACTTGACGATGCTCTGGTACCACTGTTGGGTGGCCGTTCAAATAGCATTAATATTACAGACCTTTAATCAAATGAATTACACAGATTAATAAGCATAAGGGG